GTCGGGGGGGGGGGGGGGGGAAGGCTGTGGTGGGCGGCTGTTCGTCAACTAATTGTCAATGCATCGAGCACTTGTTCCCGATAACAAGGGTCCACCAAAGAATTAGACTTGAAAATCAACAAAAAGTGTCGTCCGATTCATGCTTCATCTTTACACGAACGAGCACGAGCAAGAAAAGAACCTTAATTTTAGGCTGGCTTAATGTGGAAGGAGGCAAACCGTTTTCCCTGCAGGCGGTAACTATCGGACTCGGTGACCACTGACCAGTCGCCCACGAGATGCCGATCCTTACGGTCAAAAGTCCACTATCCGAGATCTACTGGACAAGGAGGCCATGACATGTTGGACCCCTCGTATAGTTTGTAAACGTAATCCCATCCGGATGGTACTGGTATTGGCGCTTAGGTATCTAGCGTGTACTAAAAGAAACTCTCTTCTGCTTGAACATAGGCAAACCTGCTTGTCTTGAGCCCCCAAACCAGACCATAATAGCCGGCGTTGACTAATCTTTCTTCTACGTTTGGCTGTAGGAGCCCGGATCATGCTGTTGCCGTTTTCTGTCAAACCTTCTTACTATGTAATAGAGACGTGTTGTAATTTCTCTGATGCTAGGAGCTCGCGTCGCTACACTTGCATAGTTCTGGTAGCTTGATTACAATATCTTTATCTTTTCTTCTTTTTTTTTTAAAGAAAAAAAGTTGATCCTCTTTCGGCACACGGCCTCGATGAAGAAGGTACCTTTTCAGCCAAGCCCCCTCCCGTCTCCCTATAGCTCTCATGTTCCTTTTTTACTATAGACTGCAGAAAAACCTTTGTTCCCCCATATCTCCCCCCCCCCCCGCCATTGTGCGGGCAAAAGTTTAAAAATTTCCCATTTGCCCAGGTTAGGAAGCTGAGCTCGTACAGCCAAGACCGTCGGCGCTACACAAGGAAGAGGGGGGAAAAGGGAAAAAAAAGCCGGGCGTTGCCCCCAACCCGTTATTAGTTAGTTAATTACTGATCCGAACGAGGCGCGGCCGATACGGGAGGGGCTAGCAGTAGCAAGCCAGCAACACAACGCTGTAGAATCTCGGACGGACCGACGCAACGGCCAATGTCTTCTTCTCTTCTTCTCCTCCCCCCTGTTACCCGCACGCACTCCTTTCCGAGATGCGCGCGCGCCATGCTCGATAGGGCAGGTCACGCAGATGTGGCGGTACGTACAGAGTCCCATCCCCCCCCCCCCGCTGGCTTACTTACACACAGCCCAGCGAGCGCCGGCCGATACAGGCCCTCATTTGCCAACCAGCGCCGAGCGTCTTTGCGCATTTGCTCGTGTTGTGGCGTTTTCGGAATACGCCCTCTTCATTTAAGCTTAGAGTTGACGTTATCCAGGGGTGCGGCCGGAGGACAACCAGCAGGGGACAGGGTCATGTGGTGAGCTCGAGACTGCTCAGCCGGCGAGGCGATGAAGGAAGCCTTTGTTACATCGTTCAGCTGGGACGTGGGTAGAGCTCGATAAGCTCTTTTGGTATTTGACGCCGTCGCCATGACCCGGTGCACGTATATATAGAGCCCGGTCAACCGCAGTTTATCTTGAATTGTCTACATCCGCTGTCACTCTCTCTCTCTCT